AGCCAAACCGGTTATGGCCATTTTATTTTTTTAATCCTCACCTGAGGATGGATATATATATATATAGTAAATGTCTTTTATAGAACCAAAGATATTTAGCACTGTAAAACACCTCAGACATTATTAACTCCAATTCCTTGTTTTATTGAAGTCCAGACAGGTTAGGAGACTTTGCTCAAAGTCACACAGCAATTCCTGTGGGAAACAGTAGAGAATCCCCGTTGCTTGATTTCTCTGTTTAGTGCTTTTTCTGCTTTCTCATGCTGCTGATAAGTATTCTAAAAGAAACTTGAACAAAGCTTTCCCCCCTAAAATCCTTATTTATAATATATATATATATATATGTATGTGTGTGTGTGTTAAAATGCACCCAAGAGATAGCTGGAGTTCCTCCAGTCATTGATGTCAGAATTTCAAATCCAACTATCCTACCGAAAAAGGGAAATTGGCTCATGTAACAGTAGATCTTAGAGTTCACTAGTTTCAGGCTTAGCTGAATCCTGGCGCTCAAGCTTCACGGTGAGGGCTTGTGTCTCCTTCCACCAAACACTCTTCCCTTCATGGGGCAGGTGAGGTAGCCAGCAGCAGCCCCAGACTCATGCTCAGCCACACCCAGCAGAAAGGCAAGTCTCCTTCCACAGCTGAGCTGGCTGGGTTTATGTCCGTCCCACCAATCACTGCCACCCAGGGGATGGGGCGATCTGATGGACTCATCATCATTATATCATATTGTCTGAAAAGCACACTGGTTTACAAAGCCCTTTACAAAGCTTTCCATTTATGGCACTTCATTGGTCCTGACCCTGGGAGGCAGAGAGGGAAGGACAGGGTAAATAAGCCCATTTTACAGGCCGGGGAAGTCAGGCTGCAGACAGAGCTAAGGAGAGTTTACTGAGCTGCTCACATACCTGAGAACAAAGTCTCACTGTTAGTGGGACTGAGGCAAGAAGCTACTCACGAGTGTCCGGTCCTTCCACTGACGGACGTGTACATTGGGCACGCTGGCCTCCCAGCGGCAGGCTATGGAGCAGCCGGGGTTACAGCTGGCTTTAGACTTCCCCATCCCTGGGCCTGCCATGACCTGTGCGCGGAGGGAAAGGATGACCCTAGGGTTTGCTGTGGCCAAGTGCCCACCAGCACATTGTGTGTATCTGTGATCATTAGGAAGTTTTCCTTGGGCAGAAGCTGAGGGGGCTGTCCCTGGTCTCAGGTAGTAAAGGCCCAGCCCCTGAGATGCCCGGAGTCCTGGGGGAGGACCCTCTCTGGAAAGATAGTGCCAACCTGGACGAGAGTGACCCTCAGAGGCGTGGCCACATCCCAAGGTGGAAAAAGATCCCAGCTAAGTTGGGCTCACCTGAGGCAGGCTCACCCTACAGGCCAGCCAGTGCCCAGGCCACCAAAAATAAGAACCCAAGGCTGGAGTGAACAGCTTTTCAAATGACACAGCTGCTTCGCGGATGGAAGTGTTGCCCCTCTTTGGGTAATCAGACCTACTACTAAAATCAGACTCCCAAAGCCTTGGGCCAGATGTTTGGCATTCCCGTGTCCTGTGCTGAGTCTGTACTACTAGGCCGGGCCTGGCCCTCAGCATGTACCCCGACTCCAATCTGCCACCGCAGGTTGTGAAGCAAGATGCCAGGGGAGTGTCTGGGAGTCAGGCCTCGGCCCGCAAAGCATCAGGGCCCATCCAGAGAAGCGAAGCAGCACAGAAACGCGTCACCCGACACACGGCTGCTCTGGGTTTTTCACACCAGCCAAAGTGTCAGAAAGGGGCCTTCCTCCAGGTCCTCAGCGGGCCCAGGTGGGGCCTTGGAAGAAGGCGTCCCCTTTGGATGGACATGTACAAAACGAGGCCCCTTTGGTCGGATAGTACAGCAGACGCTGGATCTCAGCCCCCGTCAGTGTCTCTGCCTCATCATTTATAAAATGCAGTTTCCAGCTGAGAGGAGCTTTTCCCTTTTGGGGTATATCCTCCTCAAGCACTTGGACAGTGTTTTAAAACAGTTCTCTCTTATTTGTATTCTATTTGATTTGGGTTCAAAAAGGACTAGGCTTTTCGGTTGGTGCTTTTAGGTGCGACTCAGGGTAGAATCATTGGTCAGAGTCCCTGGAGAACTTGCTGCGAATTCCTAGTTGGTGTGAACAGTCAGCTGGGTGGACGATTGGAGACGGATGTTTTCAGGGCTAGAGGAGCAGGTGAAGGAGACAGATGGAGAGAGAGGCCAGGGAGCTGCTCTCTTTTACCCCCTGCAGTGGAATTGGGAGTAACCTTTCTGAAGTTCAATGCATAGAGCCTGTCAGGATTTTAAAAGCACGTGCCCTTTGACCTAGAAATTCTTTTGCTAGGAATTTATCCTATAAGTAAATATCTAGTAACAAGGTAGAAGGTTGCCCTTTGTGACATTGTTTGTAACGATAACACAAAGAATGGAAACAACCAGAAGGTCCATTGATAGGACACCAGTTAAATACTACAGTACATTCATAAAATGGAATGGAATGGAAAGATGTCCAAGATCGATTGTCTAGTGGAAAGATAAAAAGCAAATTGCAACATTATGGGCAAACTTTGCTGAAAATCCATAACTGATTTGTTCAGCCTAGGCCGAATCTCTTTACATTTATGGAAAGTGGAAGACTGAATTTATGTTGAAAGAAAACCCATGAATGAACCAACCCCCCCTTGGCCCTCCTCCACCCCCAGCCCCTATAATGCTCTTCCTCTTCTCTCTCTTCCCTTCCAGCCACCTAGTCTGGGCTCCCTTAGACAAACCCTCAGAATCTAGTTATGTCTCTGACTCTTGGAGCCTCCCCTAGGCTCCACCATCAGCACCCTCATCTGTTCGCGGGGAGGGAGAGGCATTCTCCTGATTTGTGAGAGACGGGGCGCTGGCCTGGAGCAACATTGTCTCAAGGCATGAGTTTCCTTCCGTGTCAGACCCTTCCACAGATAACGAGGGGGTGCCTCAAGAAATTTATCATGCCAACACCCAGCGTGTCCCTCTGGTCTTCCTCGTTTCCTTGCCTGAGTCTAGCCAGTGGCAGGCAGCTTTCAGCAACAAAAGCCAGGGTGTCATGTGGGTCAGAGTTGTCCTACACCCCAGGTCGGCAGAGCTGAGAGCTCTGACCGGGAGCCAGGTCAGGGCAAGGGCGAGGGGATGCATATTCAGGAATCTTGAGGGACCTTGGGGAAGGTCTGAGGACAGGGCTGCAGCTCCACGCGCTTCTGGTTCAGTCTCCCGAAGCACAGACATGGTTGGTGCTGAGGAGACATTGCGGGGTAGGGAGTGGAAAGCCGATCGCTGCTATTTGTTCCGGGGCTAAATTAGACAGCGATGGAGTTCACCCCAGTCCTGCTGTCCTCATCCCATCTCCCTCACTGGGAGCATTCCACCCCACCTATGTTTCTTTACTATTTGCTGAAGATAAAAAATGTGTCTGTG